TCAGTCCCACACCTGCCGTGGTGCTGGCTGTGCTGAGGGCTGGGGCGGGGGGCCTGTCCTGATGGGGGCAGCCTGGGGACGCCCCCCCACTCCAGCTCCTTCCCTTTGTGCCACATGTCTTGCCAGTTCCCTTAGGGCACTGGTCCCAGACTCTTGCCTGACTTCAGAGCCCCCCCCAGACCCGTTACGGGGTTCATTCCCCCTCTGCGAGCCAGCCCGGGGGGGGGGGTCAGCCCCGCCGGGGACACAGCGGTGACAAGCTGCGGGGTGACGCGGGGGAAGGAGGGAGCCCACGGAGCTGGGTGTGCTGGAAAGGACGTCCCTGCTTCAGCTGTCAAACCCGCTTGCTGAGCAGTGCCGGGAGAAGCTAAATTAGCAGTTGGGAACTCCCAAAGGGTGTCATTCATGTAATTTTATGTCCTTTGATGTGCTGTTGTGGTATCTGTAATGCCGCTGTGTGGATTAGGGCTTGAGCCCCGCACAGCTTGTCCTCCTGAGTGGTTCCCTCCAGCGTTTTTTGGGGTGGAGGTGTAATAAAGTCTCTCCTCTCTGCTGTAGGGATCAGGACAGTTTGCAGCGATGGAAGCCTTCAAGTCTCAAAACAGCCTGGCCCACAGGGAGAAATCTGGTGAGTCGCATTCAGGCGTGAGCCCTAAATCTTGCCAGAGGGGCTGGCGGGGAAACAGAATGCTTTGGGGGCTCTGTGCTTTGCCACGGGGGTGGGGGGCAATGGGTGTTAAACCGGCCTGTTGGGGGTGGGTGTCGTGGTTTAACCCCGGTGGGCAGCTCAACACCACTCAGCCGCTTGCTCGCTCCCCTCCCTGCCCCGGCAGGATGGGGGAGAGAATCGGAAGGGTAAAAGTGAGAAAACGCAGGAGCTGAGATAAAACCAGTTTAATCGGTAAAGCAAAAGCTGCATGCACAAGCAAAGCAAACTCAGGAGTCCATTCACCGCTGCTCATCGGCAGACGGGTGTGTTTGGCCATCCCCATCCTGCATCCCGGTGACTTGGGAAGACAATCGCCATTGTTCTGAATGTTTCCCCTTTCCTCCTGCTTCTCTCCAGCTTTATTGCTGAGCGTGACATCATATGGTCTGGGATGTCCCTGTTGTCATTTGAGGTCAGCTGTCCCATCCGTGTCCCCTCCCAACTCCTTGCATACCCCCAGCCAACTTGCTGGCAGAGCAGTGTGAGAAGTAGAAAAGGCCTTGATGCTGTGCAGGCACTGCTCAGCAATAACTAAACCGTCCCTGTGTTGTTATCGATGCCATTTTCATCACAGATCCAAAACCCAGCCCCATACAAGATGCTGTGGAGAAAATTAATTCTATCCCAGTCAAACCCAGTATGGCTGCTGAGCCCAGAGAGTAGATACGAACCAAAAAGCTGCATCTTAAGATCAGGCTTGAGTATAAAACGTTGCACAGCGCTTTACAGAGAGCTGTCCTGGGTGAGAAACCTAATGAGGGTGGTAGTGATAGCTCAGTGGGCCTGGAGTTCGAATTTGGTAAGATACTGGGGGGGGGGGGGGGGGTTGGAAAGGAGCTTTTCTAAAAATCCAAACTCCTTCCGCATATAGCACAGCGCATACGGTAGAATCATAAGTGTGATTTGTAATTAGAGCATCAGAGCTTGTAGTGAGAAGCTGCTGCTTGCTGTTTGATCTGCAGTATGGAGTCATTTGCGAGGCTGGGTTTCTCTTTTCTTTTTAGATGGGGGGGCAGTTTCTGTCACCATCCCAGCCTCTCCCTTCATGCAGAAGCTTGGATACGGCACTGGGGTCAACGTCTACTTGATGAAAAGGTACGTGTGAGAGCGCAGGCATGAGGTGCTGCTTGGGAACAGGGCTTGGCATCTTTTTTCCTCTAGAATAATATAGGGGATGGAAAGTGCTGCCATCACCAACCTTCTGATGCTGCCTGCACCCCTTCAAATGGGCACGGAGTCGAGGAAGGGGTGTGGGATTTCCAGCTGTCTTGTGTGTGCTGGAGGTATTGGTGCTGGGAAGGAGCCCATCGTTCTGGGATAATCCCATCAGCCTTTCCCTGGCCTGGAATTCAGGCATTTGGGGTCTGTTCCTGGCTCTCCTGTGGCCTGCTGGGCAAGCTGCTTTCCTCCCCGAGCCTCAGCTCCTCCACCTGAAAATGAAAATCCGTACAAATCTTCTTCTCTAAAATGCTTGAAGATTCAATGGAGGAGCACTGTATATGGCAAAGCATTACTATGCGCCTCTGTGGTGTGCGTGCTAGCAAACTTTAGTTTATTTTAGCATTGTTCTTTATTAATTCCACAAAATAAAGGCAGGAGCTCTCCAGAATAGCTCCTCAGTGACCTGTGTGAGCTTTAACCATGGTGCTGCTTATGAATGGAGCAGTTCTGAGATGTGTGGGTTTTCCCATGCAGATCTCCCAGAGGTTTGTCTCGCTCCCCTTGGGCTGTGAAGAAAATTAATTCCAAATGCAACAGGAGCCAGCAGAGCATCTATCAGCAGAGACTGAACGAAGAAGCCAAGATCTTGAAAAACCTCCAGCACCCCAACATCGTGGGTAAGTTTCCAGCACAGCCTGTGTTGCTTCAATTGCAAACCAAGCTGTTGGAGCTGACTCTGGAGCCAGCTGATGGGACACGAGGCTGCTGCAGGGTTTCTCTGCGCTCCCTGGCTCTGGGTTCCTCTCGCACCGAGGGCTGTGGGTTACAGACCTCCCCAACTGGCTCTGGAAGTCTGGAGCCCCAGGGTGTGGTGGCTGGGAGGATGCACAGGGGAAGGATCACTGCGTGCTTGCCCCGTCCTTACGCTTCAAAGATGGGTTGCCAGGCTGCCTGTGCCTTTGGTTGGGCCCACTGTGGACCTTATTAAATCAACTTAGTCTTGCCCTGCGTGATGGGGACTTGGAAGTGTTCCTGGGCTGCCGGGGCAGCACGGTTGGTGGCAGAAGATGGCCCTTGGTGCTTCGTTGCCTGTTGAGATCGGCGTTGGTCACTGAGAGGTGGTTATCTGGGTAAGTTACCCCACAGAAACAGTTACGGTGGGCTCACAAGCTGCTGGTGTGCTGGGGCGGCCCCGGGAGCTGAGAGGTGCCTTGCTGCCGGCTTTGTGCTGCGGGGCAGCTCTGGCATGAGGAGAGCTGCGGGTTGGTTCTGGAGAAACCACTGTCCGCCCCAGGGCTGGGCCAGCACCACAGCTTTAGCTTATGGCCTGAGGGAAAGGAGAGACCACCGTAAAGTTGCAGAGGACAGGCAATATGTTAGTGATATTTGGGATGGCTTCTGTGTGCAGAATAAGGCTCCGGGTCTCACTCTGATGACACACCTTTGTAAGTGAAAATTGAGGCTCTGTGAGGCTCTTGGCTCTCAATGGTAGGAATGTTTTGAGAAGCTGCTTTAGTCTGTGTTTAATTTCTGATCTTATCTTGTCTAAAATCTCTCCTGCCAGTCAGAACAGCAGCTTTGTCTGACTTTATCCTCTTATTTGTGCTTTAAACTATCTTGTGGTCCCTTGTGTTAGAAATCCTGCGTGCAAGGAATTTTGTTTATATCCCTAAAATGGCATGTCTTGCTTCTGGCAGGAATTTAAGAGCAAAGATAGGCTTGACCTTTCACACTGCAAGCATTTCACTGCTTTTTTGTAAAAGGTGCTATAAATCACGAGCAGGATAAGACTTTTGTTATGCTATTATGCAAGACTTTGCCATTTGTAACTCCACCTGAAGAATATTGTTTGCAGACAGGAGTAAAACATGGAGGAGGAAAGATTACATGACAGTCTGTATGGGCGTTAGTCTTAACCTTGTGAAATGGCCCCTGTGAGATGAGGGCTTGGCTTTCCCAAACATCCCCCCTCCGCCTTTTGTCTTGCTTCTGTGGCCCCTTATCTTTGCAACTGGGAATGTCTGTCCTGCAGATCTGTTGCTGCTCTCCTCCCTCCTTTCTCCTGGTTCTCTGTCCCGCAAAGATTGGGGTAAACCTCCCTGCCCCGGCAC